AGCACTTTGGGAGGCCAAGGTGGGTAGATCACGAAGTCAGGAAATCAAGACCACCCTGGCCAACATGGTGAAACCAGTCTCTACCAAAAAAAAAAAAAAAAAAAAAAAAAAATAGCTGGGCATGGTGGCGGGTGCCTGTAGTCCCAGCTACTCGGGAGGCTGAGGCAGGAAAATCCTTTGAACTTGGGAGGCAGATGCTGCAGTGAGCCGAGATCACGCCACTGTGCTCCAGCCTGGCCACAGAGTGAGACTCTGTTCCCCGCCCCCCCCCCCCAAAAAGAGAGAGAGACTTACACCTAAGATCTTAAACCATGAAATTGCAAAAAGAAAATTTTGGAAAATGCTCTAGGAAATGGGTCTGGGCAAGGTTTCTTGAGTAAAACCTCAAAAGCAGAGGCAACCAAAGCAAAAATAGACAAATGGGATCACATCAAATTAAAAACCTTCTGCAGAGCAAAGGAAACAATCTACAAAATGAAGACACAACCTACAGAATGAGAGAAAATATTTGGAAGCTATTCATCTGAAGATTAATAATCAAAATATATAAAGAGCCATAAAAACTGAATAGCAATACAAAATAATCTGTTTTAAAAATGGGCCAAAAATCTGAATAGACATTTTGCAAAAGAAGATATAAAAATAGCCAACAGGTGTATGAAAACATGCTCATCATCACTAATCATCAGAGAAATGCAAATCAAACCTACAATGATGTAACCTCTCAACCCAGTTAAAATGGCTATTATCAAAGAGATTGGCAATAATGGATGCTAGTGTGGATGTGGAGAATGGGTAACCCCCATAAACTATTATTGAGAATGTAAATTATTATAGACACTGTGGAAAACAGCATGGAAGTTCCTCAAAAAAAGCAAAAATAGAACTACCATATGGTCCAGCTATCTCACTGCGGGGTGTATATCCAAAAGAAAGGAAATCAATATCAAAGATTTATTTGAACTTTTGTGTTTATTGCTGCACTATTCACAATAGCCAAGATATGGAATCAATCTAAGTGTCCATCAACAGATGAATGAATAAATGAAATATAGTACTTATACATAATAGAGTATTATTCAACCATAAAAGCGAATGAAATCATATCTTTTGCAGCTACATGGATGGAACTGGAGGCCATGATGTTAAATGAAATGAACCAGGCACAGAAAGATAAATATTGCATGTTCTCACTCATGTGAGACATACAAAAAATAATTTGAACTTGTGGAGATAGAGAATAGAATGAAGATTACTAGAGGATGTGAAAGGTAGTAGAGAGAAAGGGATAAACGGGATGGTTAATGAGTACAAAACTACAGTTAGATAGAAGGAATAAGATCTAGTGTTTGGTAGCACAATAGGGTGACTGTAGTTAATACTTTATTGTAGATTTCAAAATCATTAAGAGTGAAATTGTAATGATTTTAACACAAAAATTATAAATACTAGATGTGAATGATACCCCAATTATGCTAATATCATTACACATTATTTTCTTGTACCAAAATATCACTTTTACCATGTATATAGGTACAACCATTGTGTATCCATAATAATTAAGAATAACATGTTTTAAAAATAAAAAAGACAAAAAACTTTAAAAGAATAAAATAACAATAAAAGTATAGTATACTAAATACATAACACAGTATCATTGTTTTTATTATCAAATATTGTGTACTGTACATAATTGTATTTGCTATGCTTTTTTTTTTTTTTTTTTTTTTTTTTTTGAGATGGAGTTTCTCCTTGTTGCCCAGGCTGAAGTGTAGTGGCATGATCTCAGCTCACTTGCTGCAACCTCTGCCTCCCAGGTTCAAGTGATTCTCCTGCCTCAGCCTCCCAAGTAGCTGGGACTACAGGCTCCCGCCACCACACCTAGCTAATTTTTGTAGTTTTTAGTAGTTTTAGTAGAGATGGCATTTCACCAGGTTGCCCAGGCTGATCTTGAACCTCAGGTGATCCACCTGCCATGACCTCCCAAAGTGCTAGGATTACAGGCATGAGTCACTGTGCCGGGCTTGTACTATACTTTTACATGAGTGGCAGCTTAGTAGCTATTTTTATATCAGTATCAACACAAAACATGTGAGGAATGTCTTATGCAAGACATTTTGACAGCTATGATGTTATGACAGCTATGACATTATGACAGCCACGACATTATGACAGCCACAGCATCCCTAGGTGATAGGAAATTTTTGACTTCATTATAATCTTTTGGGACCACCTTTGTTTATGCAGTCCACCATTGATTGAAACATCATTATTCAGTGCATGACGATTGTGTATTAACTTTGTATTCGCTTTCATTTCTTGTCCTGGTTTTGACTTTTATTTTGGAAATTCTCATAATTACCATCATTTCTTATATCCTTCTAACTCTTAATGTTTTGCTCTTGCAGGTAAAACTCCCTACTTTCCCTCATCACTTTTCACTTTTAAGCTTTAATTTGTTACTTTTCCCTCCTGAAAATTTTCTATCATCTTCTTTGCTACTCTGTGTCTTTCTTTTCTTTGAGACTCTTTTATTTACCCTTTCTGATGATGGTAATTTTATTCATTTTCATAAAATTCATTGAAGGCTCAGTGTGTGCTAGGAACTGGGCTAGGTGCCATGAACATGATGAATACTTAAAGTGTCTTTGGCATAACAGATTGCAAGGAGAGAAATACACACACACACACACGCGTATAATATATCTCTCACATATATGAAAGATATGTGTATATATGTATATAGTCATGTATGTGTATATATACATATATATACACATATGAGAGAGAGAAGTAAGAGAGAGAGTGACAGGTTCTCAGTCTGTCACTCAGGCTAGAATGCAGTGGTATGATCATAGCTCATTGCAGCCTGAAACTTCTGGACTTCAGCAATCCTTTCACCTCAGTCTCTTGAGTAGCTGTACTACATGCACAGCTAATTTTTGAGTAGCTGTACATCATGCCCAGCTAATTTTTGTATTGTTTGTTCAGACAGAATTTTGCTATGTTGACCAGGGTGGTCTTGAACTCTTGGGCTTAAGCGTCCACTCACCTCAGCCTCCCAAAGTGCTGGGATTACAGGCGTGAGCTCCTGTGCCCAGTCTGAGAAATAATTAAGAAATACAGTAGTTTTCCGTAATCTATACTTTGGCTTTCCACAATTTGTTCTCAATGATTATCGTGGTCCAAGAATATTGAATGGAAAATTTTAGAAACAATAAATAAGTGTAAAATTGTGCATCATTATAAATGGCATGATGAGATCTCATTCTGTCCTGCCCAGGATGTGAATCATCCGTCTATCCAGTTTATTCACACTGTAGATGCCTATTAGTCACTTAGGATCCATCTCAGTTAACAGAGGGACTTTCATGGTATTTTGGTGCGTGTTTTCATCTCTAATGTTACTTAATAATGGTCCCAAAATGCAAGAGTCATGATGCCAGCAATTCAGATATGCCAGAGAGAAGCTGTAAAGTGCTTTCTTTAAGTGAAAAGATGAAAGTTTTGAGTTAATAAGGAAAGAAAAGAAAATTATGTTGAGGTTTCCAAGATGTACTGTAAGAACATATCTTCTATTTGTAAAATTGTGAAGAAGGAAAGAGAAATCTGTGCTAGTGTAGCTGTCACACCTCAGACTGCAAAAGTTACATCCATGGTGTGTGATAATTGCTTAGTTAAGATGTAAAAGGCATTCAATTTGTGGGTGGAAGACATGAACACAAATGTGTTCTGATTGATATCATTTGGGTTTGGTACTGTATGTGGTTCAAGCATCCACTAAGGATCTTGGAATGTATTCCCCTGAGGTTAAGGGGGCCTACTCTACGTATAGTATAATGTGATAAGAGCCATGGTGAAAGGAAAAGTTTAGAACTGTTAACGGGCATCTGGGAGCACAACAAAAGGACCTCAACTCAGACTGAATTCAAGAAGAATTTCTGCATATGAATTCAGCAAAAGGGAGGTGAAGAAGTTTTCTAGGCATGTACAAAACTCACCAGGTATGTTAAAAAAAAAATGTCCTGGAGTACATTTTCCCGGCATGCACAAAGACCCAGAAAGGAGAAAGAAAATATGTGTGTGCATGGCACTTCATTAGTATTGCAACTAGTTCAGTTCTACTGAATCAGTATATATGTTACTTTCTATGAAGTTACAACCTTTTGACCTTTCTGGTGTTCATATTTTTATGGATTTTATTATTGTTTAAGAATAGGACTTCTCTATTCTACTTTATTGTAATTTACCACATGCTATAATTCAGCTCATAGATAATGGGTGCTTTATAAATGTTATTGACTAATTTCAGTGCAGGTCTGTAAATACATTTCCAGGTTTGTCATAATGAGTGAGGATTGATATACATGTTGGTCCTTTTAAGGGGAAGTAAGAATATGATGATTACAGTGTTTTATTGGCAAACATTGAAGTTACTCTTGGTAAAGTATGTAGCATTTTATATATCTATCTCTCTATATATATGAAAAGGGATATTCTATTCTGGAACAAACTACGACCTGGATTTTAAATCAGAGGCTCCTGACATTATAAAGATAGAATGGGTTTTCAATGGTGCAGCCCCTCATATTACAGATGAAGAAACCAAGACTTAGAGAGGTAATAAATGAAAGAGACAACTCTCAGTTGTGATCAGAACTTTTTAATGTCATGTTTGCCTTTATTTCTAATACTTTTGAGAAAAACTTCTGTTGTTTGCCATTTCTGTTCTTTACACAACTTATATAATCAACTTTTACATTAGTAAATTTTTACATTAGTAAACTAGCATGCATAGTATTAATATATAGATTTTTTTTCAAATTAAAAAGCAAAGGACTATAAAGAAAGGAGTTTGAGCTTCATATACATATATATACATATATGTATAACTATAGCCAATATATATTAGCTGTAGTTAGATTAATAAAAAATATGTTTTGTGTATTATAAATTTGAATATAATATATAATTGTTACTATATATATTAAACATATATAATGTGTAAAGTATTAATATATATGAATATAAATATTTATATTTATTCATTTATTTACTAGTCTAACTACAGCCAAAGTTAAGGATTTCTAGAGGGAAGAAAGTGGAGATTGTTTTTTATTCTAGGTGTCTTATGGGGGACAAAGCTTAAATAAATTGCCTTAATTCTGTGATATCTTTCCTTTCTCATGTGCAAATGAATATTTAAAGATACATCTCCAATTTGTTGCTCTTGTTTGCTGGAAATTATTTTTGTTGAGTCACAACAGTTAATCTAAGTTAATATTCACCATGTTTCTATTAAAAAGGCAAAGCAAATAACACTAGTCTCCTTTTACAAATGAGGACATTGAGGCATTTCAAGATTAGGTTGAACTGTTTCTTTAAGGTCTCAGTTAATAAGTAGCATAACTGATGTCAGTACATGGTCTGGGATATCAGTGCTACAGTTCAACATTCATTCCGCTTATCAGAACAATAAGAGGGAGAGAAGGAAGAAGAAGAAGGGAGAGGAAGAGGAAAATTAGAAATTGCTTTTGTTTATTCTCCATTAATCACAGTGTTTAGCACAGCCATACATTATTGTTTTCAATCTTCATACTAATCATACATACTTAATACATACTAGATATTATTCTATTTTACAGTTTAGGAAACTAAATTTCAAAGATGTTATATTCTTTGCTTACAGTCACACAGCAAGTATTAGAAATACTCCAAAACTTGTCTTTACACTGCTGCACAAAACTGACTCTGAGCTGTTCCTTATTTCCCTATGGTTTAAAAAAAATAAATGTTGTATAATATACTTTAAATTTGATTTCTGTAGGAACAGTAGATTAGAAACACTCAAAAACAAAGAAACCAAAGTCTGACTGTGAAGCATGGTGTACTGGTAATATCAATGCTCTTTTAGGGGAAAATATAAATATGTTTCTGGACTAAAGTGAAAGTGGAGAATTAAAAGTTGATATCAAAACAGAAACAAAGCAATGTTTTGTGAAGTACACTTTAATAGCCATACAGTGGATCAAAAGATATGATCTCACTTCATAGTAAAACAGGTCCTGCAAGCCCAGGTAACTCAGGAAGCAGAATGGTAATTATTCACAGAGAAAGCAGGTAGTATACTGTTACAATACTACAGTAGAAAATCAGAAGGTCACAGAGCTTGCAGGGTAGGTGACAGGACTTGAAACTGCTTGGCCCTCTTTAAAAAGAAATAATAAAATGGGAGAGACTGAAGCAACTTTACCTAACATGTCTTTGCAAGGTAAGTACCAACAGCCTATGAAATGTTCACAATCAGAAACTTAAGCCGTGTTGATTACAAAGTCTGTGTGTTTGTGTGTGTGCACACACGCATCCCTGCATGCGTGTTCAGGTGCACTGACCCTGTTTTTAAGGTGTTTTTTGCGAGTGAGAAAAGAGGTGGAGATTGTTGATTCAGAGGAAGCACGTTTTCTTAATTGTTTACAAAGACTCAGGCAACACAGATTCACAAATTTGTTGGAGGATATGGAATGCTTTAGCCTTAATCCCCGGTATAATGTTGAAGAAATGGTATAACCAACTTTCAGTGCATTTTCATGTTGGACCTTTTCCGACATTAACAGAAACTTGATTTTTGTCTCTACCTGTGGAATGTTTATTGGTAATTAAGTTTTGCCGTCTCTGGGGTTTACCAGCTAAATTTCCTTGTAATTAATATAACCATTTTTTTTTTAAGGTAGAAAACGGGGTCAGGGGAGAGCCTATCAGTTTGGAGACTGTGATTTATTTCACAGGTGTTACTTAATCGGATACCTTTGTCCTTTGAAAGGATTGGCTTTGTTGACATTGGCTTGACTAGGCGTCTCTGGTTAGAGGCTTGTTAACAGAAACAAATTTAAGGTTACTCACATTTCACATTTTTGAGTAAGAAAAATTATTTCTTAAAGAATAAAAAGAAATTAGATATTGGGCCTAATCCATATTTTTTATAGACTTCTAGAATACCATGAGGTCACATAGATCTGCATGATCCTAAAAATATTCACCTATTTTATAGTTAAATTATTGTATTTTTCTTTCATTTCTTTAATCTTTATGTAGCCTGCTTAAGAATCCCAGAATCTTTTTTTTATCTCTGCGTATTTCCTAAAAATCTTTCTTGAAATACTGTGTAAAATGCTACTCTAAAGCATTTTTAATTTAAAAGATTAATTTTAAAAGTCATGTAATAAATTCTATTCAAGAAAAACAATAAGGTAAAAGGATCATTTCACATAATGAAAATAATTTATTTCTATGTGTCTTATGGTCAAATGGTATTATGTACAAGATTATAACATATTCCTTATTTATCTCTAATATTTTTCCTTGTATATAGGAAGCATCTAGGCTGTTACAGTTGTTCATATGATAATGATTTTACATAAAATGTTTATTACGGTTTGGCAACCACCTAAATAGCCTATCCTAGGCTGTGTGGGTGCATCACCTGTCTATTCAGGGATGAAAATAAACTAAGGAGTAACCAGACCTCTCTCCACTTCCCTCATGATCCCACTTTGTGTTAGGATCATGGGTAATATTTTTTAATTGAATCCCAGATTGTGTATACATTTTGTTTTTGTTTCTTTTTCTCTGGTGCTTTGTATGTTTATTATGTTTCTGGTAATACATATGTTTCACTGTGTAGGGATAGTCTTCCCTTTCCCCTATCCATATATATGCATAAAAATACAATTATTTTCAGAATTATTAATCAGAAAACCATGCATAAAATTTAACATAAGTGCTATAGTAAATAATTGGAATGGTGTGCTTTAAGTTCAAGAACAACGTGCCTAATCTGTAAACCTTTTGCAGTTGGGGAAAACTTGTGAAATCAGTTGTATACTAGGATGTTTTTGTTTGTATACTCTGAAAACTTTTCAACAAAATTTATATTATCTTCTGATCTTACTGGTGTTTAAATGTATCCTTGGTAGGTCTGTAAATATTTCAGATCTATCTTCTTGGAGTATTGAAATCCTTCCCTACCAGTTATATTTGCATTAAGATTCTTAAGAGCACCTATTAATCAGGTGAGAGTTAAAAAGAACCGAAGGTAGTTCAGTTGTTGGTTTCATTTCTGGATTTCTCTCCATTATAAAGGCAATGGAATGCCTTAACATTTTCCTGTTGTCTGGGTGACACCCTGTCCAAAATCTGAAATTGAGTTTCAAAATGACCGAAGTGAATGAAAAGTTATTTTCTAATGTTCCAATTTCACCTTTGACTTAATGGCATTTATAAAAAGTTCTGAGATTCTTTCAAATAATACTGATTCTCAGCTCCACTTACAAACAGATGTTCTTCAGTGGAAATAACTATGTTAAAATAATATGTTTTGTATATTAAACATGTTGATGACTTACGTGTTTTGACTATGAGGATAATATATTATGTAGATTATCATTGGAACTCCATCAGGTGCTTTGAATAATGATTTTCTAAGGCTATGCATCTAGATTTTCTAGATTCACGGAATGATCTCTAATTATAATTTGAAAGGCTAACCACAGATATTGTCAATGATTATTCATTATAGTGCTTTTTCTGTACATCTCTGACCCAATTATACTCCCAGGGAGCTAATTGCATGTGCCCTGGTTAGTGGAGCCCATATGCCATTAACATTTAATGTTTCTGGTAGTATTGAGAACCCATTTTTTTCTTGAATAAAAGTGAAGTTATTCCAAAGTTATCTTGAGCTATGTGAACAGATTTTAATTAGCTTTTCAAACATAAAAAAGAATCTCCTCCTTTCAGTCCCAATGACAAGGTAACCCCAGCAGAGAACTGTGTAAAACTGTCATACATGAAGGTTCATAATGTTCTCAGGATTCATAAAATAAATTATCTAGGTTAGGAGAGAATGCTAGAATTTTTTTCTAAACTTTACAAATATGAGTAAAGTACAAATAATATGGCATAAGGAATAGGGGTGAGTGCTTTCTAAGCATTGTTATTTGCAAAGGAAAGGATCATTTTTCTTGCATAATGTCTGGAAACTCACATACACCACTGAGTGGCACTCTATCACTCCATGGGCCTGTAACAGGAGTAGAAGGACATGGCTGAGAGGTGAGACGGAGACAGCTCCCTTCCTGGAAGGGAACTACCTGGAATATGCCTTAGGCTAAAGTTTCTTCAGAGGCCATCCTTGAACTTATAAGGGCTACTTACCTCTTCTCTGCCTGGAAGGATGTCCATTTCCTATTTCTCCCAGTATTCTTATTAATAGGCAGGGTAAGTCCTAGTCAGAATTGTAAAATGGGGAAAGAATCTATCAGCATGCAGCTCTGTGCTTCACCTGCTGAGCTCCTCCTACCTCAGGAATCCAGTTCCCATGAGCTTTTAACATGTTCTTTCTCTCCTTTTCATATTTAGTCGAAATATATTCAAGGCCACTTTCCTCTTTGGAAAGAATATGATATACTAATTGGCCCTTGAGATTAATTAAAAAAAAAAAAAAGTATTTCTGAGTTTAATGCTGGGACAATCTTGTGAGAGGAGGCATCTTTGAGTTAGGCCTCCCCTGGGCTGTTGAATACACTTGGCACTCGTGCTGCCTACCAGCTGCTTGGATGTTTTGAGCGTTTCTAATAATACCTCTCCTTCCTACTTCAGTTCTTCTTAATTCTTTAGCTCTAGGATACCCCTACTCTAAAGGCTACAAAACAGTAGAACTCTGGGGGAAGATGTTCCAAGTACGGAAGAGTTGGCTGGACCCTGAGGAATGCAGAGCTAACTCTAGCTAGCCATCAGCAGGAGGAGAGAACTCTTCAACCCACTGAAGGAGAATTTGGTCATCAGAGTTAGGAAAAAATAATGTTCAGAAAATTAACATTTTTGAGCTAGAACATAGAGAGTCTCAGTCCAGTGTTTTTACATTGTAGAATAACAGAGATCCTATGAAGCTAGGAAAATTGTTTTCGGTTTCACAGAAGCCATTGCCAGAGGCCACGTCTGTAGCCTGGTGCTCAAAACTGCTTTTGCTGCAGTTTTACAGAAGAATTTGGTGCATTATTTTTTAGAGCAATTTGCTTTCCTATTTCTAATGGAGAAAGCAGTCTTATTAATATTTTCCATACTAATGTCTTTTAGTTTATATATTTATGGTCTTGAAAGCATTGTTGAGTATTCAGTGAGCTTATTATGGAACCTGTCCATCCAGGCTTGGGTTTTCTCTTTACTAAACAAAAGTTACATTAGCTTGTAAGACATTTAGTTAATTTTCATTACACTAGGAGAAGTTGCCTTGTAAGTTCATAGGCACATGTATGGAATGTTTCTTCATAATAGAGTCATTGTTTAGAAATGATACTAATTCTATTTAAAATAAGTAAAAGAAAAAAAAATTCTAGGCAGGAGGAGACTTAGTGTCTGTACTTCCAAGTTGGAGCCTGAGGGTAATAGTACTTTGTCCTCCAACCTGTTATACTGGTTTGGTGTGCATGCTTGCTTTCTGTGGTGGGAAAAATATCTCTGTATTCATCATTGCAAACCATGACTGTCAGTGCCTTGAAATCTTTCTGATGCCACAAAGAGGACTAACCAGTGTGTGACTCTTCCTTCCAAGCCTACAGAACTTTAATAGCATTATCAATTAACGGAAGTGCAAGGAGCTCTTGTTGGACCTGTGTTCCATGAGGAAGGCTTTCACTAGCCCTTCATGATAGGTTCAAACACTTGAAGACCTGAGGAATTTCAGAGTTGACTCTTAGATATTGAGGTAACAGGGCATCTTGGAGTTGAAATTTCCAGAATCTTTGCTGGGAAAGTCTCATAGTCTCAAAACAAAATCAAGCAAATTTGGAGCAAAGAAAGTTGCTGAAAATGTCAAGGCGTGAAATCCAAGGTGAGTCTGACCCAAAAGAGTGAGTTAGGCAAAGGTGCATGTGAAAAGGGCTGAGTACTTTTTCCAGGTACAAGAGAGTGTCTTTGCAGCAGGCAAGAGAGATTAGGAAAACAAAATCCGAAGTAAAGCATAAGAAATAGTTAATGAAAGCAACCTAACTGAGCTTAGGAGCTAATATTTTCTTTGTCTTTCTAAGTGGAAGTTGAATCTTTACCTTATTAGAAATAAGATGGCAAGCAGCGTACTTGAATAGAACATGAGATAAAGGTGGTTAATGACATGGTACTTAGTTAAAACCTGCTGTTGGAGGAAAAGCCAATTCTTAAACACTTTGAAATATAGAGCTTGTTCCTGGAGTTTGTTTAATCCCCTTTGATTTAAAT